TTTTTTTTCGTTCTAGAGTGTAAAAAAATAAATGCGGAAACCTCGGATTTAAATCCGAGAGTTATGTGCACTTCAAAAAGTGAATGAGACAGATGAGTCGTTCTAGAATATTGGGATATAAAAATTATTCTGGCAAACCTTATCTATAAACACTTGATTTCTATTGGCTACTGCTCAACCAATAGGATTTGGGGATGAATACAGCTCAGATTTGAACTCTTCACCTTGATTTACCCTGAGAAAGTCGTTTTTCCTATATCTTGATTTCTATTGGTTACTGTTCAACCAATGGGATTTCGAGGCGAATAGAGCACAGATTCGAGTTCTCCACCCCAGAAAACCTCGAACTAGCATCTCTGTGATCGAAAGATAGAGCTCTATTTGTGGATCAATTAGAGCGTGACAAAAACAGAACCGAATTCCGATTAATTATCTTTGCAATAGCTGAGTTGGCTTTCTTGTTTCCTTATGTTTTATATACCATTTTGTAGCTCGTGAAATTCTCTATCGAATGGTATATAATAGTTGGGGTTTTAGTTGACTATGATAGGAAAAGTCTTTTACGAAAGTGGGGATGGGTCGATCTTTCCATAGGGAAAGGTGCAGGGAAAAATGAGTCTTTTTGCAATAACTCAGGAAGGTCTCGGCCAATCCTTCTCATCTTCGAACTCGACCGAGATATTGTTAAGACTGAACTGTGTAGAAAATTTCATTGCGATCGGACTCTCCTTTCGAAAGTTATCGTGTTAACGGCCGGACGGCCGGACACACTGACCGATTCTAGAGTGCACTCACTTTTTGAGTACACAAAAACGAATACGAGGTTTGAGATTCGATGACATCAGTCAATTGGTAAAGGAAATGAACTTACTTTTTGGAATTTTATTCTTTAATAATGATTGTTTAGGCCGTTTACGTATGAGTTCCTTTGCGGCATCGCGACGATTTCGATTACCAACAATAAGTTTAATATCTTGGTCTATTTCCTTCTGAAATGTGTGATCGAGTATTTGATGCATATAACGTTTAAAAGAATGGAGACGCTTTTCATGTGTATAGTGAACAATTATTTTTTTCTCAAATTTAGTATCTTGTTTCTCTGGTTCATTGGCTATGTTTGTTCTTTGAAGTAAGTTTTTGTCTGTAGCATCATTTTGAAGATCGGCTGTAGCAACACTTAAAGCGACTTGTGACTGTTGTTGTGTTGGTTTTCTTAGAAAATTTTCACGTATTCGTTTAAATTGTTTTTCATCTGTACTAATGGATAAAAATGATGTTGTTGAAGACATATTTTCGACGAAGAATTTGTCAAATTGTTTGTCAATAAATGAAGATGAATAACTATAAGTTAGTATTATTGATGATAATTAATTATTATGCTTTCGTTTATGTGTAATTATGACTTACCCATTAAATAATAACATTAATCTAATGAGACGTTGTTCATGTTGAAAAACTTGATATGTAGATGAATATCGAACAGCCTTTGTAAGTGCATTTTGTATAATATTTTTAAAGACATGACGAGGATGATCAGACAAAAAAGGTGTAACATATGGTTCAGCTGCTGGTTTATGATAGACAGATGTTGATAAAATACCATTATTATTGGTAAGAAGTACATCGAGAAAAGGAAGACTTTTATCAATTTTATAATCTAACTTGATATTTAGATGCCATTGATTTGCATCATCTAATAATTTTCGTAATTCTCTCTTAGATCGATTCCATGTCATAAAAACATCGTCAATATATCTAAGAAGATATTAATGTAAAATTTATTTATTTATTTATTTTCTATCCTATTTACACTTACCTGCCATAAAATTCATTTGTTATATTTTGTTGACGAACAAATTCTTTTTGCCATTTCCACATAAAAATATTCGCTAGAGTTAATGTAAAGGATGAACCCATTGCTCCACCAGTTGTTTGTTTATAAATTTTTTTATCATAGACAAAAACATTTTCTTGTAGTACAATTGATGCTAATGTTTTTATTGTAGTCAGATCAATCCCTTTGACTTTTGTATATCCATGTACTTGGAGAAATTCGCTAAGTATTTTAATTGATTCTTCTTGTGGTAACATTGTATATAAATTATGAATATCAAATGTACAAAACAGAGTTGATGATTTAAAGAGACCTTTTCGAATATATTTATGAAGTTCTTCAATTAGAGAAGCACCATCAATAATATTTGTTTCTTTACATTTATCATTGAATATAGGTTGTAATATTTGATCTAAAAATTTTGAAATATTTGTTGTTGGAGCATGAATAGTATTTTCAATCGGTCGAACGGGTATATTATCCTATATTTTGAAATAGAATAAAAAAAGAAAATTTTAACAATAAATAAAAAAACATATTCATTCTACTTTATGTGTTTTTGGATTAAAATATAAATGCGCTAATTCACATTTAGTTCGATCAGGCATCATTTGTTCATATTGCCACTTGCGAATAAGATTTTGTTCACGAAGTCTATTAAGTAATTGAATGACTTTATTTGTGATATCATTAAATGAATTGTCAGATAATTCTATAAAAGCATTTGTATCAGAGAAAAATTTTCGTGCTTTTTTTTCAAATTCAGTTGCTGAACCAATATAAAAATTATGACCTTTATCAGTAAGACGTATAATTAGATTTTTTTCTTTAATTAACATTCGAATTGATGTAGCAATATGTGCTTGTTGTTAAGCTTCTATTTGATCTTTATATGATAATGGAGTCAAATAATAATGACGAAGAGAATTAAGAAGATTTGTTGAATATCGTTTGAAAATTGGTGCTGTCAATGGAATACCTTGATTTTTAATTAGATTCAATTCAACTTTCTGATAAATCTCTTTATGTTCCTTTTCTAGTTCTTTTAGTTGTTGTTTTTCTGGACGAATAGCACTTTGATTTAATCTTATATAAGATGGACCTAAATCAAAAGAAATCATAATGAAATTTTTTTTTTGTGTGTGCTTCAAGTTGAAAAATCGTACCAAGTGAAAGTTGATTCCATTGTAATGTATTGAATGGATTGTCAATAAGATCTAGATATGGTTCAGGTGACACACCAATCATATTTTTAGCTAATGATGAACGGTGACGATTTTGAAGTAGTATACCTCGAGAAGATGATATTTTATTAGAGATATCTTGTTTTAATCGATTTGTTCGATAAGTTATATATTTTTTAAATTTATTCAAAATAGATACGCCATCGTTTGTAATATTAATATTGAATAGTTGTATTTCTAGTTCTTTAAATTCATTTTCATATTGTTGCTCATATTTTTGTAGTTTGTATTCATAAACATTGAAAAATATATTTAACCAAGTACGTTTTGCTTCTTGTATAAGTTTATAACGTTTATTTTTTATTTCAATACTATTTTGAGTATTGTTCAATGGTAAATAATTTATATGCTCAATAAAATTTTCTAAAT